GGAAAGGAAAGGAAAGGAAAGGAAAGGAAAGGAAAGGAAAGGAAAGGAAAGGAAAGGAAAGGAAAGGAAAGGAAAGGAAAGGAAAGGAAAGGAAAAAGGGGGAAAGGTCACACACAAAAAAAGTAAACAAATATACAAAACAAATCCCCACAAAACAAATGAAAATCCCCAAAAGCCCAACCCCTATCTTTTATCAATAAAATCAAGTCCAAATTTAACATAGGATATTATTTTCCCTTTGATAACAAGACTAGCTATAAAATAGGTAACAAATATGCACTGAGACATGGGAAGAGCACAGTGTATTTCCTCTGCTTGGTTGTGAGTGCTGTTTTAGATTGAAGATGGGAGTACAACTTGCAATGATAGCAGCCTTGTGTCTGCCCTTGTGGCAGTCTCTGAAACCTATTCCACTGAGTTCAGCAATATTTCTGCTGTAATATTTTTCTCCAGCTCACCAGGCTGATTCGTTGGCTAGAGGTAATGGAGCAATAGCATTGCAGTACATGTTAAAACCTCCACAGAATATTGGGGAAAGTAAGTTCCTTTATTATCACCCTCTTTGCAATCAAGGAAAGGTGAGTAAGTGGCTGTATGTAAGGAGCTTGTTTTGCAGTAAGCTAAAATAAACACTTGACATGCTAATGAAAGCAACCTTATACCAAACCACTAAAGTATTAATGGTCTCTGTTATTATGCTATTAGCTATATTGTTCTCTCCACACTGTTGGTAGAGAAAAGTAAGTGTGAACTGCACAGCAGATTCTTATGTCAGTGGTTGTATTCCATAGATTTTCACTGCAGAGGTATTGTCTGTGAAAATGGATAGACTAGGAAACCTCTTTTACTCACAGGTTCCCTGCAGTATTTCAGGTTTGACATGTGCAAACATGCCAAATCATTTTCTTGCTTTTTGTTCTTTTTTTTTTCCTCCTGCCACTTTCCTGCATCCTGGGAGAGTAAAAGCTGCCAGGGATAATTTTTCCTTTCCCTCAGTCAGGTGCATTCATAGATTGAGTGATTGTAAATTGTCAGGTGAACAAAATATGTTTGGTACTAAAGAAAACATATGCATGTTTTACTTCAGTAGCTTCATAACACAATCTTAAAGTGGTTGCATAGACAAAATGGCAATACTTGTCATAACATAGCAGCCATGAGTTGGCACAAATACCACAGTCACCCATTCTCATCCTCCTTATTGTCACCAAGCAAAGGCAAGCCATTTATACAAAATCCTAACAAAACAAAAATCTTAAATGTTCCTTGTGTCTCTTACCTACCCCACCATGTGTCCTCCCATACGGTGTGTGCAATAGGGAGAAGCAAAACTGTTTGCCCTTTCCTTCTTTACGGGATTTCTCAGATATGAAGCAGAGCCTGCCAAAGAGCTTCCCCATCCATTCCCTCCACGGCCTGTGTGAGACCAATGTTGCATCAAAAATGAGTAACACATCTAGTAGGAGTAGCACAAATGCCTGCTTTTTCTCTTCCTTCAGCAGAAAAATAATCAATCCACGCAGCAAAAGCCATTTTCTTGCCCTCCTTCAAGGGATGTGAAGACAGAACTGGAGCTCTGGAAGTTGTCTTACTCCAGCTTCTCTCATAAGCTGCTCCCCAGATGAATGACCAGATTCCTCCTGATAGATTGATAGGCTGTTTGTTTCCCAGGATCACCTGTGAAGGAGCGGGTCTGTTGGAGTTATTCATCCAGGGTGAACTTTGTCTGCTTTCCATTCACTTGGTGGGAAGGAGAACAGGTTGATGAATGAGCCAAACCACAAAGTTCAAAATGAACACAAATCACCTTTAACAGAGTTGATAGTGTTGGTTCCTTTGCCTGATGGAGTCACCACAATTTGGCCTCTTGGCATTCAAAGGTAACATCACATTTCTGAGTGTTACGTCAGAAATCCAGGCTCACCAGCTGGCACCTGCCTGAATTGGTGGATGCTCTGTCCATGAGAGATGTCAGTCTGACATATATAATAATATATAATATTATACGTTATATATATATATTATTATAATAATATATAATAATGAGAGATTGAAGTACACAGCAGAAATGAGGCAAAATAAAACTTCATGTTAATCTCGACAACTCATTGGTCCAGCAGGTCATGGCCATTCAGTTTGATTCTCACCAAGAGGGAGACACCCTGGTTCCTCATCCCTTCTCCCAAAAAAAGTTTTTGTGAAAAGGCAAAAAGTGCATCATCTTGAGACCAGGAAATAAACCTCTGCTTATGGCTCAATCTTCTAATTGTGAGATTAACATAAGGCTTCCCCTTCCTGCTTCTCCTTTATTTGCCATGAATTTTCCACTCTCTGGCTTCATGGAGAGGGACCCACCATAGTCCATGGCACTTGGCTTGTGCTACTTCCCTCCAAGGTGGGCTCAATCCTCTCTGAATGGTGGCATGCACACAGATGGCTCTTTCTTGCCAGTATGCAGAGATGTTCTAAGAGTCTTCTAACACTGTGCAGGCCTGA